GGGCCTTTCGGGAACTGGGCATTAATCTGGGTGCAAGGCCCCCCAGGCACAGCCCTAGCAACATCCTTTAACCAATGTTGATGCCCTTCCTGCCCCTCTCCTTCCCCCGTCCCCACCATCTGAACATGCATGATAACAACACGTTCACACAGTATGATAAGCTACGCTGGACTGTGAGCCAAGTTTGTTTATTGCTATCAGGCCATGCTGTTGGGTTCAGACAACACATCAAAGTGCTTTGGAATAAGAGTAGCTCACAACCCAGCAAGGCTTATCATGGCGCTCAAGAGCCGACCAGAATAGGCTTCGTTTCTAATCCGCTTTATTACAAACAGAAGCACTGCTGGGTCAGACCAGCTCTACATTCTGCTCATGTGTGGCCACAAGCAGGAACAGAAACCCTCAACTCGAGCATCCCGGCACGTGGTGTACTGCCTCTCTTCCTGGAGACAACATACCACCTTCAGGACTAGCAGTCATGGTAACTTCCTTCCTCCTCCCAGAATTGGTTCAACCCCCTTCCCAAGCCATCCAAGTTGGTGGCCACCACTCAGCTTGTGGAAGCAAGTTCCATATGACGAAGAACGATGCGGACGATGGTGCACACGCACTCCACCTTTCTTTCCCTTGCAAGGAACCCAAGCTTTTCCTCCTCTCCATTTTATTCCCACAAAAACAACCCAGTGAGGAAGGTTAGACCAAGAGTCTTTGGCTGGTTCAAAGTCACCCTGTGAGGTCCATGGCCCTCATTCTCTCTCTCCTCGCAGAAGCCAGAGTCTTTGCGTTGTTATGCTTTCAGAAGATCCAGTTTTGACTCCCAGTGAAAGGTCAGTTTTTTTGCTTGAAACATACAAAAGCAATGGAATGAATCTCCTTTGCATCACAGATTGTGCTTCCATCTTGGAAAGGTAGCATGAGAAACCCACTGAGGTTGATCTTCTCCCTAGCTAACTCACACTTTTAAAAGTGCAGAAATAGAACAAGGGCAGGAAGGAATAATCCCAGACAGGTAGAGAAGCTGTGTTTTAATGCTGGATCAATCTGAAACCTAGCATTAGTCCTATTTGGGGTGACTTAGTTGCCCCAGACAAAACTTCCTTGAGCAAAGCAGCCTATGAAAGGCCTTTGATTTATGGTTCTCCCTAGGAGTGTTTTAACTGGCATAAGAATAGATAGCAGGTTTCAGGTAGAACAAGTTATAAGACCTGCAGCAGTGCAAAACAATAAAATCTTAATAGCAACAACTCTTGCTCTATTGTTCTTTAACCCATGGAACAGCAGTTTGGCTTACAAGCTTCAGCTCAGCATAACAAAGCTTTCCTTCTATGGATTTTGTCTGGTTTAGTTGGCTTTCAAAGGAAACAAGGTGATCTGTACTTATCCTCCTCTTGTGCCTTTATTTAAGGTTCACAAGTACCCCACAGAACTATTCCTAGGCAAATCTGGGGGAATTTTGTTCCCACAGTATGTTTTGGTTGATAGAAAGAAAACTGTACCAGGGAGGAGACTGAAATCTGGTCACATTTTTCTCACCTGAAATTGATGTCCTAGAAGAACTTAACTGTAGATCTACTTGGGTGTTTAATTACATGCCCAAAGCGGTGTTGGGGTTGTCCAGGCAGGCCACAGTAAAGGAAGAAATGTACTTTCTTACCATTAGTTTTGTTTTAATATCGTGTTGTGCAGCTTTCAGACTGACTTTATACACTGACTCTTGGCTGTTCAATTCACTTCAGAAAAACATATGATCATTCTGTTTATTGTAATAATTATTGCATTCAAAATATTATCATCATTGCATTTCTATTCCACCTTCTGTCCTCTTGTGAGGAACCCAAGGGGGTTTATACAGTTTTGTTTTATCCTGACAACCCTGTGAGGTGGGCTAGGCTCAGAGTGAGAGGCTCACAATCACCCAGTGAATTTCATGGCTGACGGAGGACTTGAACCTGGCTCTCCTGAATTCCAGCCCCGCACTCTAACCACTGGGAAGCACTTTCAAATATATATTGAACATGTTTACAAAAGTATTAGAAAGTAGCGGAAGCAGCACAGCCGGTTACATTACTCAGGGTGTAATAACCATTTGTGCTGAGTGGAGGGTAAGGTTATGTAGCCAGTTTCAGCCATCTGATTGCCCACTTCTATGTACGTTTACATCCAGAAAAAAGGCCTACAACTCCCAGCATACCTCACTGGCAGAATTTTACAGGCAATTCAGATGATGTCATCAAACCTGTATTGTTTATGGTTTAATAGGGATATACTTAATTATGCATCCCTGAATCAATATGCAAAGCAAATCTCCAGGAGCCTTTGAACTTGGCACTTCTCATAATTTTGCAGTGGAATTCTGCAATAAACAATGTATACAAAAAGGCGTATATTAAGAAAAGGCACACCCCAAAATGTGTATATTATTATTTCATTAAATTAATTTTATCCTCACCTGTGAAGTAGGTGAGGCCGAGAGTCAGTGATTGGCTGAACATCAGCCAATCGCATTTCATCAGTCACAGCTGGGGGGACTAGAACCTGGATCTCCCAAGTCCTAGTCCAGCACTCTTACAACTGCGTGCTAACGGATTTCCAGGGAAAAGAAAGTTCAACATGTATTATGTTAGGAAAACTACTGAAGAATGTGTATTAGGCAAAATCGTCGGGAGAAATACACAGAAAAAATGACTATGACTTTCCATGTCAACTTTTAAAAAGTCTAAAACATGGGAGAAAAAGGTTACTATGTCAGAAATGGGAAAACTGGAGAAATTTGGAACCCTCCTGTTTTTCCACCTCAACTGCATTTTATTATCAAGGGAAACAAACCAGGAGGAAAGGATGGAATGAATACACAGAGCTTAGGACCAGTAATGCTGGGAGGCATCATGAGAACACAAGAAAGTCCTGCTGGAACAGACCAGAGGTCTGTCTAGGCCTGCAGTCCAAGCACATGGCAGCAAACCAGCTGCCCACAGCATCCCTAAGCAGGATGGGCACAGGACCTCCGCCGGCCCAGCTCCTCAGCAACTGGTCCATGCAGGCAGCCCACCTCTGGTGAAGGAGGGAGTCCATAGCCAGCAAGGCCAGTAGCCATGGATAGCCCCCTCTCTCATGAACCCGTCCAATCCCTTTTAAAAGCCATCCAGATTGGTGGCCATCACCAATTCCCATGGCATCAAATTCCATAGTTTAACTATACACTGTGTGAAGAAATACTTCCTTTTCTCTGACCTAAACCTCCCACCAATCAGTTTCATGGGATGACTCCAGATTCAAGCGTTATTTGAGGGAAAAATCCACCTGGAGCACCCCAGTTCCCTGAAGTGGCCAGTTAATGGGTTTTAGAAACAAAGGAAACCATCCAATGCAAGTTTAGGCAGGAAAAATCCTACAAGTCTCAGTATGATGGCTCGGGAAAGCAGGGAGTTTTATCTGTCTAGACATGGCATCCTAAAGGTGTAATCCTACGCACGTTTAGACAGAACGTCTACAGTTCTCAGGATGCCCCAGTTGACACAGCCGGCTGGGTTTGCTAGAACTTCAGGCCCATTTTCTGTCTAAACACACATAGGATCATGCCTTACCCATACAGGCCATCTCTGGAATGCCTTCCCTTTGGCCAAGAGATCCACTGGGCACCCTGTTTTGCTTTTAGGCATACGCCGAAGAAGGCTTCACTTCAACAAGCTTTTCAGGTGAGGGTTCTAATGTTTTAATTACGATCCTTCCTGGGAGCAGAGGACTGCGCATCCCAGGGCACGCAACTGCTGTTGGCTGTGGCCACATTGGGCATGTTGAGGAATGGTCTGGGAGCCACCGCAAAGAGCACGCCATGGAATATGTGGCAAAGACAGGTGACCTGTTCCAGGGGCTGATACCCAAAGGCAGAGGTGACCTTCTTCTTTTTCTTTAAGTAAATTTTATTATTATTTTCTACAAACTAAAAAAAAAGAAACTAAAAAACATAAATCATCAGAAACATCAGACCTGGGTCAGTTCCCTATTTATTTATTTTTTATAGCAACCCGTAAACATATTCAAGTCTACGCATAGTCTCGTTTCTCTAGCCAATAATAAAAAGAGTTCCAAGTTTGATAGAAGTATGCATCCTCTTTCTCCTTCAGAGACAAAGTCAGTCTGTCCATTTCAGCACAATCCAGAATTATTTTTTTTAACCTTCTGACCCCACAGTTTGCCGTACTAGCAGAAGTCCATTTCACAGCAAGTCACGCTGCTGGTAGGACAAAATTGCTGTTGTTGCTGTTTTGAAGTGAGGGTGCCTTGGCATCATCCTGGCCCTCACTTATAAGTTCTATGGATGAACCAGATATTTTACCTAATAATTGAGAGGAAAAAAATAAAATTCATGTAATGACGACCTAGCTGATACTGATCAGCTTTGCACAGAAGACTGGTTGAAGAATTTTATGTTAAGAGGAAAGCATACTATATGCACTTTATTTAGCAACTGAGAGAAAAAACAGAATCTATAGACATTATTAGCGAATCATAATTACCATATAAATGCTTTGTCACCACTTAAAATAAATCTAAAAAGAATGGAAAGTATATTATTAAGTATTATGTATACAGTGATCAAATTAATATAATTGATTTATGAATCTAACTTTTTATTATATTTTATTTTTAGGAAAAAAGAAAAAATCAATTATTAATTGTTGATGTCTTTGTGGATATGTTATAAAGTGAATTACTATTTACTTGATACCCATGTTAAAGGGCTTTTTTTAAAAATAGCCAGGTATCATTAAGTCAAATCTAGTTATAAAATTGATGGAAAGTAATAAGTATTGACTTTTTATGTAACTTCTTGCCCTTAGTGCTTTATGTAATTTTTGTGTAAGGTCCCTTGGTATCTTTTTCTTTCTTCTTCATGTTACTTTTTCTTGTGTTTTTTCCCCTCTTTTTGATGGACCATCTAACTCTGGGAAAGGACGGGCACGACTGAGGGGCGGCACTAAGCCCTAGGAAACATTTGTCGGCGTTCGGCGCCTTCCAATCTCTCGAGCAAAAATTATTGCTTTTCCTTACAGGCAGCTGGGATTGCCATGCAATAGGTTTCCGGTGGTGCCGAGAAGTGTGGACTTGACGGGTTTGCGTAATGTGTGGGGACCAGAGATGGAGGCATTTTGTTCAATCTGTTCCGACTGTTTTGTGCATGGCCGTGTCGTGTGTTCCATTGCACACTCATGGTTAGACTGTTGCCCTTTCAGGGTTGAACAAGTCCAGATCCATGCTACTTGTTCAAGGGCACATTAGCGCTAAGGTGCACTTCTATGCTAATACAAATGCAAATTCGCACAACTCACTCCTGTTCCCCACAGGAAAAAACGGTCTGCAAGTCCACGGAATTCACGAGAGCCAGAAAACGCTGTCTAATGCATAGCTCAGATTCATCCAGATCCGAATCCAGACTCCTGTGAATCTATTTCGCACTTATCCAACTACCCCAGTTGTGGCTTGGACCCAGCAGGCTCTCAAGGAAATGTTATCTAAAGGAGCACCTGCATCCATATCTGCCCTCCCGCCCTTCTCCAGGAGCCCTCCGTGAAAGTTATTAGGAGGGTGAGTACCCAGAGGAGGGCCTTCTCTGCGGTGGCGCCCCATCTATGGAATGCGCTCCCCAAAGAGGTCTGCCTGGCGCCGTTATTTGTTTTCGGTGCCAGACCAAGACCATTTTATTTAAGCAGTATTTTAATTGCTAATTTATTTATTGGTTTTAAATTATTTTGCCTGGATGTTTCCAGTTTTTCTGTATTTGTATTGTTATTTATTTGTTGGAAGCCTCTCCGAGGCTTATGCGAATGGGGCAGCATACAAGAATTCCAAATAAATAGATAGATAGCATAGCTTACAGCTGTATCCACCAGTAAGGATTTCACAAGAGCACATGCACTGTAGTGGCATGAAGTCACAGTGCCTTGCAGGTACTTTGGACTACACTTCCCATCATCCTTTACCACTGGCCATGTTGAGTAGGACTGGTAGGAGTTGTAACCCCAGACATCTGGCAGGCACCAGACTGTCTTCCCTTGGACTAGGAGGTGGTGGCGACTTGGGTCAGGGACCAAGAGTGTCATTTATCTGGCTATCACATGTACAATTTTGCTTGATTATTAGATTTATATGCAGCTTTTTCTTCTTACACGGAACTCAGCTTTCTGTAATTGCTCGGGGGACGTACCAGTGCAAGCTTGCTTCCCAGAGAGATCCCTTGATCTGCTACTCTGGTGCTTTGCCTTCCAGAAAGTGCATGGGTCAGCGGCATGATGGAAATGTGCGTGAAATACACATGGTGGCTTTAACCACGTTTTCAGGGAGGTGGTTAAAACTTGGCACGGATCTGGGAGGACAGATCTGAAAGGGGAACGGCTCTGGATCACCAGAGCCGTTCCAATCTGGGCGCATGGAGCCGCTTCATACCAAGCCGGGACACGGGTTCATCTACCTCAGTCATCGGACCGGGAGAGGCTCCCTGAGGCCTCCCAGCATCTCGTCTTGCTGGCTGCCATCTGTTCCACTGGAGAACCCAAGACCTTAACTGAAGTGCTCCGTCAGTGAAACGCAGGCCTGCCCCTCTTGCGAAATCCCGGTTCAGTTCTCACTTCTGCAAGGCGTCTGCATGTTCCTGAGATAATCACTGATAATGAGGGTGTTTCTGAAGGCCCATCCTGTCTAGTTTGCTGCCCCCGGACACTCACAGGGAGAGCATGAAGCTGTTGACTCTCCATGGTGCTTGTCCTCACTGCCTGGTGTTCGTTCTCTTCGCAGAAGTTGAAGGGGTCCTCCTCTTGTGAGAGTAACGTGCATTACTCTGCTTAGTTACAAGCAGGATTGTTCCTCTGGAGGCCCTAGAGGAGCAGAGTTGTAGGGCCAGGACTTGAGTTTATTAATAGCCTTAGTGACATCATCCCCCACCTCCTGATGCTTCTGTGCTCCTTCTGAGCTTAGCAGCAGCCTTCCCAGTAGCTGCGAAAAGTACATTTTCCGAGCAACAGCGCTGAGAAAATAGATCTTCCCAGTAACAACACATCTCCCTGTGGTCTTGCAAAATATCCTGCAGTGTCTTGGCTTTGAACTGGTTTTAATCAGCCAGCGAAGACTCATTGGCTTTACCAAAGGCCAGTTCCTTATGAAGCTGAAAGCTGCTTGAACTGGCTTGTGATGCGGATCAATGGAGCAGCCCATGGTTTTGGATGCTCCTTTGGGATGTGGCTTTGGGGATGATGGGAGAGCCATGGACCCACACACCCAGCATGAGCTCACTTCCCTTTGAGGCCAAAGAGCTCCTGCCGCCACTGGGTGGCGCCCTGCCCTGTTGCCCCGCCACACAACCACCCTTCCTGGATGGGGAGACGTAGAAACACAGAAACAGAGCGAGCCAGAAGGGGTCTCCTGGGCCATCTAGTCTGACCCCCGGCTCCAGTGCAAGTGTCTTTATGGACACTAATTGTTAGATGGATGATTTCCTGGGGTGAAAATGTTGCAGGCTTGTAAAAGCCGTTGGCTGTGAGAAGGTGAGCACCCATCTCTTTACAGGAGGTGGAAGGGTCTGCTGAAAACCTGTGCATGAATAAAACAGTGGAAACAGCTGCCTGAAACCAAAAGGCAGAAAGAGAACTGAACCTGGGGAATGCTGAACTGGATTCCCTGGGAATCCTAGGGTGCATCTCATAGAAACATAGAAACAGAGCAAGTCAGAAGGGGCCTCCCGGGCCATCTAGTCTGACCCCTGGCTCCAGCCGGCTCCACTCACGACATGCCCGCCATGTGCATGTCTAGCCTGTCCTTGAACACCCGCACCGATGGGGCCTCAACGACCTCTCATGGAAGCCCATGCCACACCCTCGGGGTCCCAACTGTCAGGAAGTGCTTCCCGGCATCCAAAGGGAACCTGGGCTCCCTGAGACCCTGGGTGGCATCAAAGGAAGGGCAATGGGATCGAAGGGAGGGGGTGGGCTGGCACGGGCAAGCAGAGGGGGGAGGCAGCGGGGCGTAGTGGAGAGTCGCATGGCGGTGGGGCAGGGCGAGTTGAGATGTTGGTGGGCCAGAGCTGCTGCAAACCCTTGGTGCGTGGCTAAGGCCATGCAAGGAGCCGACCAGGCGCCAAGTCCCTGCAAGAGCCCTCCAGCAACCGAGGGCCAGCAGCTGCTCCAGACGACCCCGCTGGCCACTTTTCCACTGCGACAACAGCCAGGACAAGCCAGAGACTGGGAGGCCCCTCTGGAGTGTTCACCTGGGGAGAGGGTGGTTTCTCGGGGTTGGGGCTGGGCTGAGGGGCGGAGGCGTGTCAGAGTTCCCCGCTTGCATCCGCAAAGGGCTCTTCAGGCTGGGATTCAGACTTGGGGAGTGGCAGAGGGACCCTCACTCTGCTTCACGGGTGGGCCATCCCTGCCATCCCCGTTTCTGCCCTGGGCGGCTTCCCTTGACGCCAATTGTCAGCCTTACACCTGGGATCTGCAACGTGGAAATGAATTCCACACACGTGGCACTCTAAGAAGCGTGGCTCTCACAGCATCGCTTTGCGGGGAATTCTGGGACAGGCATCTCGCTTCACTGGTGAAACAGGGTTCCCTGTGCAGTGAAGCTGCCTCTGGATTTTAACCCAACACAAATTAAGGGATGCCATATATGGTCTCTTGAGTATCTCACAGCAGCAGCAGCAATGGCAACTTAGCACTAAAAATGGCGATTTGGAGGCAACACCACGGGCAGCCTTCCCTCCTCCTGAATTCCTGCCTACGGACAGCGATACGTCGAAGTGGTGGAGCTCCTCTGTTCCACTGCCTCAGTGAGGGATACCTGGCAGTGCAACCCATCACAGGTGCTGATTGAACCGCAGGATCCCGAAATGGTAGAATAAAACAATTCTAAACTTACACTTTTGGATGCCTCTCTATTGTGTGAGTGGGAGGGGGAAAGAATTCTGCAAAGAGAAACATAGCACAGAACAGAACTTTCTTCCCGGGTGCGTTACATTTTTCTTTTACTTGCAATGTGAGTGCTTTTTTCCTTGCAGGATTTGTACATGTGAGAGCGGTTCAGAGATGGGGGTTCCAGTTTGAAGTGCTACAGTCCTCAGGATTCTGTGACTTCACCCTGCTGCAGATAAGGATCGTGTCCTAGTCCAGATTAATGTGTTATTCAAAAGATAATCAGTGGTAAAGGCCAATGGACCACAAGTTATTCATAGGTATTGCATGGATTTCCCACCTTCCCCGAGGAACTCAAGGCAAGCAGGCTTGGCTCTCCTAGCCTATTTTTACCCTCACAGATTATGAGGTCAGTGAATTACATTCTCTGACATCACCTGTCCAGCTTGGACAAAGATACCGAGAGAAGGCCCTCCTCTTGGAGTCATGGTCTTGTGCTTCCAGACCTTCCAACTTGGAGGGCGTAGTTTTTTGGGATAGCTTAGACTTGAAAGGTACAGTTCCTGGGCAATCCCCTTCCTGCACTCCACATGCCACGAGAGCTGATGGCAGAAGTTACCAATTGTTCAACAAGAGTGCAGAGAGCTCCTTTGAAAAAACCGAGTCAACAGGAGGACCAGACCAACCGGCTCTATTTAATAACCCTCAGAACCTCCAGAGAAGGCCTCTGCATCGTGTTGAAGCAACAGGTGTGCGGAATGGCAAGCTCCCTAGAAGACAGAATGAAGATCCAGGGCCATCTTGATAAACTTGAACACTGGGATGAAAGCAACAGAATGAGATTCAATAAGATCAAGTGCCAAGCCCTCCACCTAGGAAAAAGAAATCAAATGCATTGATACAAGATGGGGAATATGTGGCTCAACAGAACTGAAAAAGCCCTCAAAGTAATTGTGGACAACAGACTAAATATGAGCCAACAATGTGATGCAAAAATCAAACAGCAAATACTATTTTGGGATGCATTAACAGAAATATTACTTTCAAATTGTGAGAAGTTGTAGCTCCCCTATATTCCTCACTAGTCAGACTCCATCTGGAATACTGTGTCCAGTTCTGGGCACCAAGACTTAAGAAATATGCAGGTAAATTAGAAAAGGTCCAGTGGGCAGCAACAAAAAGGGTCCAGGGTTTGAAAACACTGCCCTGTGAGGAGAGGCTGAGAGAACTGGGCATGCTTAGCCTTGCAAAGAGAAGGTTGAGCGGGGACATGAGATCCCTCTATAAGTACCTCAAAGGCTGTCACAAAGAGGAAGGTCAAGATCTCTTCTCACTCATACCAGAGTGTAGGACAATAATAAGTGAGGAATAATCACCTCAAGTTGTGACAACCAAGATTCAGGCTGGATAGCCGGAAAAGTTTCCTCCTGTCAGAGCAATGCGACAGTGGAACCAGCTGCCTAGAGAGGTGCTGGGCTCTCCCACACTGGAGACATGCAAGGAGAAACTGGGCAGCCCTCTGAGTGGGATGGTGTGACTTGGTGTCCTGCAGCAGCAGGGGGTGGACTGGATGGCCTTCATGGCCCCTTCCCACGCCACAGCTCACCCTTCCACAGGGCCCTGTCCTTGGCTCTGTACAGTCTGCCCAGCCTGAGCATGGCTCGGTCGCATGTATGAGTGTCTCTGCTGCAGCATGTTTCTTCTGTGAACATCGAGCTGTGACAGGAGATGGCTGGCAAGACTCATTGATGCTACCTAGTCTAAAGGCACTGAGTGAGCTTCGTGGCTGAACGGGCATGTGAATCAAGGATGGGCGACTTTGGGAGATCTGGGGGTCACTGTCACTCCCACCCCATAAAGGCTTCACCTCCCACATAGTACAAGAGAGATTTTTGATGGGCTGTGGAGGGCCAGAAAAGCAACAGAAATCTTTAAAATGGCCACTCTGAGCCCACTTTTGTTTTTAATATACAGTTTGGGAAAGGCGGGGGAGCCACTGGGGCCAGCAAAAGACAAACGCAACCTGCGGCTGAACAGGGCTGGTCCTGCTGTGAATGCGGCACTACCTTGTGTCTCACAGCGGGCACTTCTCAGAGCAGGTTTTTGTGCTGGCCAGTTTCCTGAGGTTAAGTCATGTCCCTTACTCGAACTCCAAATGCTGGTGCCTCGAGTGTGTGACTGGCCAACCCAACTCTACAGCGAACGCATCCCTACCACTGCAGACACAATAAAGGAGTCTGTTCACATATTCAGCCACAAGTCATCACCTGTTCGGTCCTCAAGTGATGGAAACAGAGTGAACAGGCTAATTTACCAAAGCAAATTATTTTAGTTGCCTCCCCGTCCCTCAAAAAAAGGGTCTGCAAGCCTGCAGAATCTGTACAGCTCAGAACACACTGATCTGCTGCAGAAGCCACAGGTGGGATACATAGAAACCTAAACTTATTTGATCCTGTTGCAGATTTCTCTGACATCCTTAGGGAGAACGGAGTATGCCACAAAAGGGACCTTGAACAGGGACTCTTCACACAGCAACATCTGAGGATCCCCACAGGCAGAACATTCCTTCCTTCAAATGATAACT